CGGTCGGTCAGTCGGTCGGTCGGTCAGTTAGTTCAAACTCTGCAGGTTATCAGCAACTTCTCTTCTAGATTCTAGGTTCTGGACCTCCTCCTCCTCCTCCTCCTCCTCCTCCTCCTCGTTCATCTTCATCATCCTCATCATCATCAGGTCAGCTGCTCATTCTCCGTCCAGTGTTTTTTTGGTTTTGTTTTTTTTTTTCATGCTGCCGTGGTTCTGAACATGTTGTGATATTTTTTAACTTCCAGCCATGCTCGACTCGTATCCAGCAGAGGGCGTCTCACTGTCCGACACTAAGTACCGTCCTCTACCAGATCAGTCTTCAGTCCCTGGAGCTCCACGGGTTCCTGGAGCAGTGGCAGTCACGATGGAGCACACCACCGTGACCATCACCAGGGAACAGCCCAAAGACCACATCGTCTGGTCCGTCATCGGCCTGTTTTTCGCTAACATCCTGTGCCTCGCCCTGGCAGCGTTCATCTGCTCCGTCAAGGTGAGCCCTTCAAAATAAAAGACTCTAAATGAGCACAGTCACTGCTGGAGTTGGTCCGACTCAGTTAGAGTTAGTCACTGAGTCTGCTCTGGTTCTCGTCCTTTTCCAGTCCAGGGACCGCAAGATGGTCGGAGACCTGGTCGGAGCTCAACGCCACGGCTCCACGGCCTTCTCCCTCAACGTGGCCAACACCGTCCTGGCTGCTGTCCTGCTGCTCCTTGTGATTGGTCTGTGCTTCCACAACCCCATGATGCTGGGAGCCTTGTCCGGGTTATGGTTGAGGTTGATTTAAATCGCTGTTTTGGTTTGTTTGTTTTTTCTAGACAGTGATGGTTCAGAGAAATAAATCCAGATCATTTCATTAACTCTTCCAGTTTGGCAGCCTCACGTTTCACTCCAGAGAGGCCGTGTCTGTGGCTGCAGTTTGATAATAAACTGTTTTTGCTGTGACGGAGTCTGTTTCCTGTCTGTTAACGTTAAAATCTCTCTCTCTTTTTTTTCTTCCTTTTTTCTCGTCATCACTTGAAACTCCAGAGCTCGTGTTTGAACCCACTTCCTGTTTGTTCTGGAACTCTTTCAGAACAGATGTTAGAGATCCAAATATTTCTGTCAGATTCAAAGGTCACTTTGTTTTGTTTACATATTTGTGTTTCTGTGTGCGACAGTTCATGACAATAACACACACACACACACACACACACACACGTGCTACAGCAGGCCCTCCAGGAGGACAGACGGGTGTTTACAGGTGCTGAAGGTGTGGTTTCCTCTTCACCAAACGTCCCGTCAGGAGGACCTGTTTATCAGGTTCAGGAGAGACTCCACCCCCCGCCAAAGACCAGCTCGTCCAATCAGAGCTGAGCTCAGTAGTGCGTGTCGAATGCTCCGACAGGTAAGAGCTAAATCTGTGTTGTTTTGTCAAAGGTTGAAGATGAAGTGATTCAGTTTGAAGATCCGTGACTGTGGACACAGATGTGGTTAGCCACGCACTGAGAGCCTGAATGAGAGTCACGAACATCAGATTATGTTAAAACAACAGCCAATAATAAGCTTGAAGTTGGTCGTAACCAGGAAATGAGTCGACGATTGGTTCAGATTTATTTCAACTGTTTCATCAGGCAGGATGAGTTGGACGGTGGCGTCGCAGCCTCGGCCTTTGGTGTGTTCCTCTGAAGAAGAAGGTGATTGGTCGACAGGGATCTGCAGCTGTTGCAATGACATGAAACAGTGTATGAACACGTTTGTCACCATCTACACACACACACACACACACACACAAAATAGTTTAAACTATTTAACTCTAGTAAACATTCTCAACTCAGTAAACTGAGTTGATATATTTCGTATTTTGCCAAATCTGACTCCGGTGTCTGGTTATCCTGGTTCTGATCCTGAAGGTTGCTGGGTCTTCTGGTGCTGCCCCTGTTTCGCCTGTAAAACCAGTAAAGCGTTTGGCCAATGTCTCTGTCTCCCCCTGCTGGACGTCTGCAGCTGTGTTCATCCTGCTACGATGGTGATGAGGACGAACGTTCGGTATCACTACGGCATCAAGGTTCGTTTGTTTTCTCGACTGTGATTGGTTCATATTAGTATAATTAATGATTAAGAACATCAACATTAAATGAAGAATTATCAAATATTTCGGTTGGATTGAAATCCCTCCGTGTTTTTTGTGTTACAGGGCAGCCTGTGCACTGACTGTGTGTGCGCCACCTGCTGTCCGTCCTGTGTGTGGTGTCAGATGGCCACGGAGATGAAGAGCAGGAGGATGCCCAGCTTCCTCGGTGACATCATACAGCACTGAGATGAAGAGGAGGCAAAGAGAGGAATATTACCAGAAAAGAAAGAAGATTTGATTTTTGATTTTTAAACTTTATTAACCAGAAGAGGAGGAGGAGTAATGAATAGATCACCATGTCAGTTATTTATTTTTGTGATAGTTTTAAATTAATTAAATCATGTAATTTATTCTAACACTCATCAGTATAAGTAAACTAACAAAATTAAACTTGTTCTTTATTAATGTCAACTTTATTTGCTTGCTAACTGTATATTTTGTTTATGCAATATATAATATTAGCCTGTAATGTGAAAAGAAAATGTACAGTGTTTTTCATTTAAAATATTCAAGAATAAAATCGTTAATTTGTTTTTAAAAAGATGATATTTTACTTCAACATGTGTTATATATTTATTTTATATTTTGTGATTTTATTTTATTTTATTTTATTTTATTTTATTTTATTTTATTTTATTTTATTTTATTTTATTTTATTTTATAGCTGTTGTCCCCTTCCGCGCCTCTGGGTGTCGCTGTGGGATCTCTGTACTGTCTAAGTGTGCTACTGCGTCCTGGCATCAGAGGAACCAGCGACCGTATGTGACCACGTGGGATTTGCCCAGTAGCGGTGGTACGAGCAGAGTTAAATATCTTTAATCGAACCATTTTCATTCCTAACGACCAGCGATGACTAAAATGAAGAAGAAGGTTTCTTCCGAGTTAGATGAATCCATGTCGGCCTCTGGCGGAAACGAGAAGAGTTATGTGGAGCTGGTCGCCAACATTAATCCTATCGCTCAGCCGCTGGCGTCCCGAAAACTTAGCAAGAAGCTGTATAAGTGTGTGAAGAAAGGTAAGAGAAAGAAGAAAAATACAGTTTAAACGACGCTGTCGACTAAAGGACGCCGTTCCTAGCAGTTGTTTTCCGGTTGTTTCTGACTTCGTAAACCGTCCATGTGTTCAGTGTTCACCGCTGTAGCACCGTGACTGTGTTGAAGCTAACTATGCTAAAAAGAAAAACAAACTCAAACTTCCATGACTATAACTATAAAACGTTGTGCTCGTTCGTATTCGTGACTGTCACTCGATGTTGACAAATCAGGATTTATGACTTTATTTTCTTTCGTCTCTGTTTATTTTTATTCACTTTTGTCTGTGGACTGGAGCGTGTTGTAGCATCTGTAATTCAGGTTTAAGCCTCTTGGTGGCAGCAGCGTATGTGATCATGAGAAGATGCACGTTTTCACAGTTTAAAACTCTTTTATTTAAGAGAGAACTCGTAAGAGAAAGTAATCAATGTGTTTTTTATTAAATCGCCATTTTTAGAAATCTGTTCAACCACGGATTGATGGAATTAGTTTGAAAATAAAGACACTTTTATGGTACAAAGAAAGAAAGAAGTGGGGACTCGTGGCGTTGAACCTTTGACCTGTTGTTACTCTGAAGCATCGCGGTTCTGCTCTCGGCCTGACGGATGAAACGTTCAGGGTTTTATTTTGTTTTCTGACGTTTTCTGTTTTTCCAGCTGCCAAAGTGAAAAACATCCGTCGAGGCGTGAAAGAAGTTCAGAAGTTCCTCAACAAGGGGGAGAAAGGGTGAGTCGGCAGCTCCTCCCTTAAACCTCACCCGTAAAAAGTGTAGTTCTCTCACGTCACCACATGTCGTGTCTGCAGGATCGTAGTGTTGGCGGGCGACACGCTGCCCATCGACGTCTACTGCCACCTACCTGTCATGTGTGAGGACAGAAGCCTGCCTTACGCCTACATCCCATCAAAAGTGGTGATTGTTAAACAAATAACTACAAATATAAAGAGCAAATAAAAATTTTATAAAAATAAAGCATTCTAAAGGTTAGCCTGACTTCTGTCGTCTCTCCTCAGGATCTTGGATCTTCTGCTGGATCCAAACGTCCCACCTGTGTGATTCTGATCAAACCCCACCAGGAATATCAGGAAGCTTACGACGAGTGTTTGGAAGAAGTTTCCAATCTTCCCAAACCTCTCTGAGACATTTGGACCAATCAGGGTGCAGCCCTAAAGCCCCGCCCTCCCCTCTGTGAACGTCTTTGTTTTTGTTTTTTTGTACCATGTTTCATGAAGAAGAAAAAAATCCGTTTTGTTTTCCCTCTAATTCTTGCTGTTGTTGAACAGGTGGAGTCTGTCGACACCAGTCACCACAGAAGAAGAAAATATGACACGACCGACTTCTTTATATTTCATGTTTCATCTTTGTTTGTGCTGTAAAATATTGAACTGTAAATGTTTTTAGGTGAATATGATTTTTCTTTTATTTTAGAAAAAAAATCAACTGGAGATTTTTCTCACATCAATTTTTTTTAATTTGATCTCATGTGGCTTTGATGAACGAAAATCTGGTCAAAGAATAAAGTGTTCTTTTTAACGTGATTACATGTTTGTCCTTGAATGCTTCTTGACCACCAGGGGTCCAGGCGTACGGTTGTTCTTCGTCCAGTCGCTCAGACGTCGGTACAAAGTTGGCCGAATCTTACCAAAGACGGCAGCTTTTAAAATAAACCACTAGGTGGCGCACGGCGGTCCTTATTTACTCTCAGAAGCCGACGTTCTGTACGTTCTAGGGTTCAGGTCAGAAGGTTTTTTTTTTCTATCTGGTTGTATCATCTACCTCCCGATCAGGCGTGACGGCTGTAAAACGAATAACGGCAGGGTTGCGGGACAGTCGGGGGGGGGGTGGGTGGGGGGGGGGGGGGCG